TCATACAGTAACATTGGCCTTATCGCAGCGATATACACTCTACCTTTCACTGATGTTCCGCCGTCTCCATAGATCGTTCATCCTCTGGAATGCCATATGGACCTTGCCGGAACGCGAAGAAACTTCCTCAGTGATGGGACCCCCAGATGCGGCACAGCTCCCAAAGAAAACCGAAGCAACAATTCCAGTGACTGTTTGGTAACAGGTGGAACCAGTGGCAGTTCAACCCAGCAATGTAACCACACTTTACACGTTGAAGGTGAAAAGCACATGCCGAAGCGTGCAGCGCTAAGCGTCAGTCTATGCAGTAGTGTTTACGTAGCCAGTGCGTCAGCCCCAAGAAGAATCCTGTCATCCGCATACTCCAGGTTTTTCAGTCGGTCACCTGAACGAACTTCCACCCCGGAAGTCTGAAAGAACCGAGTCATTCATGATCAATTTGTTCACAAAGTTGAAGAAAGGATACATAGAAGAATCCTAGCGAACCCCACTGGTCATGAGACAGCTTCGCGTAGACGCTTATTCGAAAGCAGGAGTAACGGTAGAAAGACTTCAGAATAGAAGAGTTTCCCTGACACGCCCTTCATGGGGAGACAGCGCCACAAGCTGGCGTGATCAACAGAGTCGGAGGTAACATTCAGGTTAAGGAAAACCACTGTGGTCGGTCTTCTGTACACGTCTCTGCTTTAATACTTACCGAAGAAAAAATGTTCGGTCAATGCAACTATGAACATAACGGAAGCCAGCCTGGTTTTCATGAAGTTTGGATGAGATGAAAATAAAGCTAATGCCTTGGTGATTTTCGCACAAGGTACGCTGACCATACTTGAAGATGGGCACGAGAGTTGACAGTCGCCAGTCTGAAGGCATCTCCTCAGCGCAGAAATCGTGCAGAATAGAACATGTTCAGTCGACAAAGAGTCACCTTCATCTTTCAGCAAAGAAGTAGGAAGGTTGTCGCGTCCAGGAGCCTTGTTTCATTTCAACATGACAAGCTCATGTCGAACCTCTTCTAAAGTGAAAAGCGACAACAGATTCCCACATCGGCTAAGGTGATTCAGTAAATGGCAGTGTCGCCTCTGGCTTGCTGAAGTGCTCTTTAAAATGTTCTGCCCAACAGGTTAGTCGAGGAGGCAGAGAAAGAATCAACCGTCCATGTTTCTCAACTATCGTTTCACTAATGGCTTTCATGGAACCGCGTTCGTATAACACGGAATTTCATACGGCTGTTCCCAATGGCATTGAATTTCAAAATCTCAAACACCAACGTTCCCGGTCATCTCGAAGCCTCATTGGTAATCATCGTTTCAGTGAGTTAAGGACACGTTGAAACTCAGTATTCATTAGAACCTGCTTCTGTGCTTCGATTAACTGATCGATGATTCTGAGATCCATTCACAGCTAAAATTTGTCATTGCATACTTGAGACAATCCCAGCCAGCGTTCGGTTCACCAACCCCATTCATCATCGACAATTGGTAGGTTAGTTCGTAATGATTTTGTTGAACTACAGACTGTGAGTTTCCTACAAGTAAAGTTAGAAGTTAAGCATTTTTATAAAGCGGAGTGAGCGCCAAGCGCAAGCGCACGGTCGGAATCCTGTCTGGATTGACCGACAGTACTGGAATGATGTGCGCCACCTATAGCTGTTGGCAATATGATCAATTTGGGCTCAGAAGGAATTCGGTGGGTGACAGGCAACATGATGTACACGTTTGCGATGAAAATCGGTACTGCTAAGGTAAGAGTTGTGGTCGGCGCACAGTTGCAGTAATCGATCCCCATTGTATGTTCGACGTGTATCAATTCCGAAGCGGTCGCCCAGGTGTTGTTCATAGTCTGAAAGACGACCGACGTGGGCATTCATGTAACCAGCGACAAACACAATGACAGCATTTTTCGCCATACGGAGAAGATATGAAATACGGCAATAGAAATCGTCTTTGATATCCTTTGAACTTCAGCCAGTGTGGGCATAAACAGGGGGCGATGGAAAAGCACCTTGTCTCCAAACAGTGCTTATTAACCCCAATGGAGAGTCGAAATCGAACCGCACATATGCGACTGTTCACCGGCATCTAGTTGAGTAGATTGCCTTCAGCCTGTTTGCTGTGGGCGATACCAATACCGTAAATACCTTGAGCTACTGACTCAACATCGCCAGAGAAGCGAATATTGTAGCCATTGTAAGCAAATTCGGAATAAGAGAGTCGAAGATTCCTCCCAACGTGTATCTCTGCTCTAACAATTGCTTAAGAGTGAATATGTAGTCGAGGAGACCACGACCATGGCAAAAGTCTGCTTGGCTTTATATGATTGGGTTCTCAGGGGGACCACTACGCACGCCGAAGAATGATATCCGTCAGAAGTTTGGAGGTAATGTAAATAAGACTAATGCCCTGATTACTTTCGCACAAATCCCTCAACAAAGCAGAACAAAAATGAGAAAATTGGACAAGTCTGGTGAAAGCTAGTTGTTGTAGGAAAGTTGTATTGACAATTCTCCGTAGAGCCTGACGCGACCTAAGGTGCTTGGGTACAAGGAACACCTTTCTGAACAAGTGTCGAAGAGGATAATGAGACCAAATGAGCGGAAAGCGTTTTCAAAATCGTAGAACATCTCTACCGTTGATACGTGCGACGCAGTTTTATCCCTTACCGTGGAGTGAGAATTTGGTCTATGTAACTACCTCTCGGACGGAGGCTCATCTGCTTCTCTATATCAGTAATTTATAAGCAAAAAGATAAAAGACGAGGGTGGTAGTCAATACTTTGTCACAACTTACGCCAGGTAGACAGCTCTGTGACGAACACAAGCGGAACGATTGCTCTACTTGTGTGCTACTACCGGCCGACGTCCCACGTAGTCCCTTTCCTCCATAACTGCTCGAGAAAAAGCAATCCTTCGCTCAGTATTTCAAAGAGCTGGCGTGTGAGAATTGAGACCAGTAGCCTCGTCATCACCGGTTAGACTAATACTCTTACGGATGCTGAGAAATTGGGTCGGCAACACATAAAGGAAAGTTATCGTCAGCGCATACGTAGTAAGTACGATGGAGTATTGAAGTTCGGTGAGATCCACTCACGGAGACAAATTTCTGCGCATGTACTAGAAACGATTCCGATACCGCGACACATGGGTACGGCATCACTGGGGAAGCAATGTGGGTATGCTCTGTTGTCCGAACCCGAGTCTAGTGAGTTCTGATAAAGGAGGACGCGACTGTCCTGTTTCGGAGTCACAACACACACCAATTCCAAGGGGACGAAGTCATAGTGAGTGTCTTCTGCTAGCCAAGCTGACAGAGTGGGTGGATACTGAAGGATCCAATTTGAAACGGTACTCTAGGCTTCCCTGTTAGTGGCCTCTTGGTGGTAAACAACGCAAGAAGAATCACGAAGAGGAAAGGGTATGGAGGATGATAGAATACTACTGGCAGTTATGGGTAGGTAATACACAGCGATCGCTTATCCTGACAAATGAGTTTTTATTTAGAGTGCCCTACATCTGGCCTCTCGCTCAACATTCTGATCCAAAAGAAGTTAGCTAAATAGAGGTTCGCTAGATGGACTCCACCTGAAGCTTTTGGCTTGATGGTATGGTGCACAAAGCAGTGAGGGTCGTGACTGCATTCCCATTGATTTCTGTTAGAAATCTGCCACACGAAACATGGAAAGATCCAGAACTAATCATGTATGCTTCCAGACGAGAAAACGATAGACCTCTACAACCACCGCCAACGACAGACTGGGTTTAACTGATTTACACCTCGTTACTAAGGGGCTACTGGTCTGAGGCAAGATTAAAATTGGCGCCCTAAAGTAGTTGGAGACAATCCGGAGGCTAGTACCCTATTTCAATCAAGTCAAGTCTAAAAAAGCAGGCTGTTGCCCCATGGTTAGATTCGGAATGAACAGTATCAATGACTTCGCCCTAAACACCAAAGGTGAGGCTGAGACTGAGCATGTCTGGCCATTCATCATTGGGCTATCTGGTTGAGTATGTTTGAAGGCACTTGGAAGGCAACATACGTCATAGCAAGTGGATCATGGGAGTGCGCAAACCACCACCACATAAAGTTAAAATAAAAGATCGTTGCAATAAACAGGCGAGCAGCTACTGTGTTCTTCTATCGTAAGTGACGGTCTACGTAGCTCGTACTCCAAGCCAATAGAGATCTCGTAACTCGTAAGCTGCCGTTTCCTATGCCTAAGTGCTGAAAAAGGATGGGAAACTACATCTATCCGAAGAGCCATGTGGAGGGAGAGATTGAATTTATCGACCATTGATCACTAAGGAATTCGACAAGGGTCACTGAAAGAACTTGAAAAGTCCCAATACATCATGGATGTACGCGAACAATTGCATCACTTAAGATCCTATTCTGTTTCTAGTTTCAGCCCATTTCAGCTTTGAGCCGGCTGTGTGACAGCGCATTTGTTTCAGTAATGAGTACGCTGAACACTAGATTTCCCCGAGATTCAGCGCCACACAATTTCACAATCTCTGGTGCTTTGTTTTACAATCACCGTATACCTTCTAACAAAAGTGGTGGAGGCCCAAATACAAAGCGAAGATGTTCCGAACAGTCGCTTATGTCAACAAATCAGGCAATGTAGGTTTGGTGTCCAGTTGCGGTTGACGATCAGCCAGTTCATTTGGTTCCTGTTCCCGTACAGCACACACACACAGCTGACCATTGGGTGGGTTGCCGGTTCGAACCCGCGTAGAGGTGGTCGACTTCGCATACAACCGCTGGTGACTGCGTGGCAGCGAAGCGTCGGTACGCATTTGCCGCTCGGTAACGTATGCAACACGCGCGTTTCAGATGGGTTTGAAGGTATGGAACGCAGTGGGATCAAAAATTGTGCGACACTGAGTATTAGACTTAATGAGGTCGACGGCCTTCGAAATGGCGGAAGTCAAGAGTCCATACATATGAGCTAGCGAGAAAGTAGTCTGCGGTGTCATGATCACGTCATTCAGAAGCATAGGTATGATTTTACCTGATACTGACAAAGATTGCGTCTTATTCACATTAATCCAACATTTGCCTAGATAAGAAACAACTGAAATGTGGGTTGTGCACCATGGTCAGAAAAACTATGACGATGGAATTGGTAAGTGGTATGCTCGTCGAGTACATCAGAGTGTATAGGATGTTCTCCAAAAGGACGGCACAATCGGTGATGAAGTGAAAAACTAGGAAATCAAATTTAATTTTTTGTCGCAACAATCCACCTAGATCATTTTGCAAATAATCATAAAAGCGAATGCACAAGGTGATTCTTCCGAGAGCTGCGACGACGAAGCAGCAAATGAGTCGCGTTACTAGCGAACACACAGGAGTAATCGAACCAAATTGATTATACAGAGTACTCGGCATCTAGCCAGTGGAGAAACAATGGAACAGTGACCAAAAATGAAGACTGTGCTAGTTCGAATAGTGGGTAAAACGATGCAAATATGTGCTGCGCCAGATAGAAAAGGTGCGTCATGTGCGTTAGTGAGAGTGTGCTACGTTTTCATTAGTGCCACGGAGCAGACAAACAATACTCGTCAATTTTCACGAGGTTTTCGATACGAACACACACACGGACATTTTGCGGCGCATGAAAAGTTGATAAATGAATCCAGAAAAGCGATTCTCACGGTGATTAAGGACATGCATGTCCAAAACTGCATTGCGTTGAGTCAAAAAGCCCAAACGCGCAAGAAAGGTGTGAGCTCAGGTGGGAGATAAAACTTTGTTAAAGAAGACATTAGTTGCAACACTTTCGGTTCGGAGTGGGGGCTGGTACATTTAGCGGATTAGTCGTAGGGTTGATTGCAGCAGGCGCGACATGAGCTCCAGTTGGCTGGGCACTGACGATATTAAAGATAGCTGAAAGTGGAAGCAATCAAATTCATGTGCAAAATCACGCCAACAGAATCGGGAAAACATAGGAGCGTGCGCCCCGATTTAACACAATAACAACTAGAGGCGAGTCTAAGAAACTGTCAACGGACCGATATTTGCGATGGAGAGAACGTGGAAACCCAGTGTTTGAGCTGAAGTACACGACAGTCGGTGTCCATGCATGCGGGTATGAACCTGTAAAAACTCCCATCACAAGTCGAGCTTAACTGCACCGGCTGCGCTTTGTCCATATTGAATTCCAGGTCTTAATAAAAAATTTCTTGTCTAATTTTTAACCGAGAATAACTCCGGTTAGCTCTGTGAGTCCTTTCACATATGTCTCGAGTAGAGTGAGGATCGGAGTTAATGCGCCCAATGTGGTCCGAATTTATTTCCCGTGACTTAAGAGACCGCTTCCTTCATTGCTGTATTGGCAACTGGAGGTGAAAATCGGTCAAACTAATGAAACCAGAGACGAGGAAGCAAAAGTACTTCAGCAGCACCGTTGTAAACCTGGCCTACAAGAGAAACGCAAGTGTTGCAGTCGCCACATGGAGAACAAACAACAAAAGAGGTCAAATGGGTGACTTGTGTGCGTCAAAGATGTTCACATAGCAACCGTGGGACAAATGAAACAATCCAGTCTCCAGTAGATAAGTTGGAGGAACACAATAAACGGAGACTTTAATTCGTCTTGGCCCACAAGGCCACTAGATTACCGTAGAATTTTACCAATATCATGACAAACTCGTACGGTTGAAGTGGAGCAATCGTGAGAAGTCTTGAAAAAAGGAGGGAGATGAGTGAAGGTGCGGACGGGGAATATCCGGTGAAGATGGTCTGGGATCTTAAAATGATTCGTTGTAACGCAGGAAAATATAGACGATCGTAAAAACAGTGATCGACCGAACTAACCCAAGCATGAGTAAATGAGAAGGATGATTTTTAAAAAGCTTGTTGCTGTTGCAGCTGAGCTAGATAGTGACATCTACTAAAACGACGCGCGGTTTCCTAGGGAACAGAATGCTACAGAGCACCGAAATATTTCATGACAAAGCTAACGCAAGCTTAAATAAAATGCGCAGGATACGTTTAAAATAGACAAGCACAATAATAACAGAATAACAGAACCGACCTCATCATTATCAACAACAAAAGTACATCAGTGACTTGTGCTGATGCTTCGCTGAGGTATAACCATGACGACCTCATTAGAGGGTATTAAGAAAAGGGGGGTAAGGGGGCGAGGTACAGAATTTATGCGCCCCAGGTGAACATTCAAAGTCAAGGCGCCTACACTCTGTCAACAGCATAGACACAAACAGCTGGCTATCATCCGAAGGTGGGATGGAGATTCATAGCAGCCCCTACTGTCCCGCAGAACAATCAAACCACCCACCAGGTGGTGGTGTCATGCACACATTAAGCAAATAGTACAGTTAAGAGAGGAAAGAAAACCCGCACTGGTACCGACTGCGAGGCATGCCCCGCAAGCTCAAGCAAAATACATGGTGAGTCGAGTGGGCTCTCACAAAGAAAGTGAGAAGAACCAACGGTGTCCAGTTCAGTTGTCAATGTCTTCAATTCCAATGCCAAGTTAACTTTGCCCATCTCGAGCCTTGTGTCATCCAACATCCAGCAGAAACAAAGCAAGGTCCTTTTCGGTCGGAGGTGACCTGGGACGCGTCAGACGTGCCCGAGCCAAATCAACTTGCTCACTGCAGCAGATATGTTCATATTTGGCAAATCAAATCGCCAAATTGGACATTGGGTTTCTATACAGTCACTAAAACGCACGGATGCTCGCCAACGTGTTCCGGCTGGAAGCGAATACAATGAGACTTGCAAAGATCTCAGGGCGAAACTGCGTGCTTGCTTGAAGAGAGACCGCGAAACATAGTGGTCTTATCGTGCTTCGGAGATGGAGACAGCCGTTGCCTTGGTAACCATGGGAACTTATACCGTACGATACAAGAAACGGGCAGCAGGAAACATGGTGTTAACGAGACCATATGCGACGTGAGTGGAAAGCCGATCCAGAGCTGGTCAAAGCACTTGGAGTGTTGGGCCGAACAATCTGAGAAGCAGTTCAATCAGTCAGAGTTGCCAGCTCCCCCATCGGCCAATGATAGTCCTACCCCTGGGCCGTCCCTTTGGATCCGCCCTCACGCGGAGATATCAAACGTGAGATCTGACGGCTGAACTCGAACAACGTCGCTGGAGCAGATGGACTTCATCCAGTCCTCTTTAAATTCGGGGTCCTGCTCTTTGGGACGATTTGCATAATTTACTAGTGAATATATGGGAGCAGGAGACTATCCAAGCAGACTGGAGCCGTTCCGTTATAGCTGCGAATAGTTCGGGTGGAGTGAGGGATTACGGCAAGTTTCCGCCGCCGCTCAATATCTCCAGCGGTGTGAAACAAGGTTGCACGCTGTCACCTTTCCTCTTTAAGTTCGCTATTGACGAAGTCTTGGAAACGGTGCTCGCCGCGCACGACTTAGAAAATGTGGAGCTGCTCCCAGGTGACCGAGTTCTGAACTTGGAGTATGTTGACGACATTGCACTCATCTGTGACAGCTCCCCTACGTGAAAAGATGCATTGGATAAATTAGCTGTGGCTGTTAGTCGTTTCGGGCTATCCTTTGCATCCTTGAAATGCAAAATCCTTCTCCTAGTGTCACGAAGACGTAACGGTCAGCTACGAGGGTGTACTTTAGCAGAGCGAAACTAACCAGTCCACGTGAGCGGCTGACAAACTCGTTGCCATGAGCAAACCGGAAGCTGGTGAAATCCGGCCTCAGCCGTCACGAGCGTTGTTATGCGCCCGACAGAAAGCTGACGAAATCGCACGTCACTGTCTCAAGCGAGTAACGCTGGGCTCGGCCAAGCGGACAGACAGTCCAGGGCCAATCAGCCAGGTGGCGCGACTGGGATTGGTGAATGTCCCATAAACATCAACCCCCTTGTACTCAACAGATACTTGCCGGTCGAGTTCGTATCCCTGGGTTGGACGGTTGCGCACCCAGAGAGTAAGGAAAAGTGCACGCGTTAAGGCATTAGGGCAAAAGACGCGCACATGTCAGTACTCGCGAGCCTCGTACTAAGGGAAGGCATATGGACGTTTTAACAGTGGCATAGCACAAGGCAGAGAACAGAAGCGAGGCCTATGGTGCGCTTTAAATCTTATTTCATGAGAAAGTTGCTAAGGTGCGCTCCACCATACAAACCAGGTGCAGTATAAAGCGCTGAAATTCGTCAAACTACGCTTCGGATTGTTAGACTGGTATAAACGGAAGTCTTCGTAGAAGAAATGTGTCTCCTTTCACACAACGAGCAGGAGGTAGTAGCACGAAAGTTAAAAATGAAGTCATGCAAATCGAAACGACTTATGCCTTTCATCAGTAACGTTATAATCCGAGTGGGCGGAAGACTGAATCAACTTTCGGTGACATACGAAGCGAGGCATTCAATTCCGGGTCGCCATTTTGTCACTCGGCTTCTTATACTACCTTATCGCTACGCCGGTGGACACTGAAGTTCAGCATATACTGTACGATCTTCAGCCACGTTATAAAATAGCGGGAGGAGTTCTCGCTGTTAAACATGTACTGCTCAACTGTGACAAATGTCGTACAAATCATGCGCAAACACTAAATCGGCTAATGGCGCCGTGTATAGCCGATCAGTGTCCGAGCTTCGGTCCAGCATGTACTGCAGTTGGGCTTGATTACATGGGCATTTGATGGTGCAATGCGACCGTGTGCATGAAAATATATGAATGTTTATCCAGCTGCTTGACTAGAATGGCGGTTAACGTCGAGATTTTCATTCCATAGAAACTGATTCGCTTTTGTGTGCATTTTCGAGATTTGCAGCTAGACGTAGCTGACCGACTTTTATATGCACTGATAATGGACAAAATTGTCGCGGGACTGAAGATGAATTACGCGGGCTCCTGAGATACCAGGAGGATCTCCTGAGGATCAGGAGAGGATAACGAACTCCATGCTTTCACGAAAGATTGACTGGAAGTTTAATCCTTATTGCGCTAGCCATCGTGGTCTATGGGAACGAGAGATTGGATTGATACACTAATTGCTACGTAGCGTTTCGACGACGATGCCGTAACAGAACAACAAAGTATGATGACATTTGTTGGAGTCGGAAGGATACTGAATGACAAGTTCCTAGGGAGGTACCTGAAGCACCTGATACTCATGACACTATATCACCGAGCCAACTGTTGACACTGACAGACAATCAGACTCTTGAAAACCCAACAATAACTAACCGATGAAAGTGTATAGAAGCTGGAGGCAGGTAAGACATTTTTCGATATGTTTTGGCTTAGATGCGTTAGAGTACACTTACAGAAACAACAGCAAAGACAGATTTGGTTAATTAAAGTTGAAGTTCAGGCAGGGTGATATAGTTCTAGTTTGATTTACGCACCTCAATAGGCCGGTTGTCGAAGGCAGTCGTGGGAGGAATCACGCAACAAAAAGACCAAATGGTTCGACAAGCGTTGATGAGGACAAAGCAAAAATATGCTCCAAAGGGAGCACGGACAACTCTGCTTGTTGGATGCATACAAGAAAGAAGATCACGAAGCTGTGGAAGTAAAGGAAAGGAACAAAAGACCGCCAGGGGAGTGTAAAGTCCAAAGAGAACTTCGATCATTCAGCCGAACTGGATTGCCTATTTGATGACGTGATATCCCTATGCCCAAACTCTACACTTATTTCATTACAGAAATTTACACATGTTTGCTTCAAATACTTGTGGTATGAAACGCCTTAGGCTTCCACTTCGCGCGATTGGAATATTCGTGACTCTACAAGGTCAAAGATTTCACTCTTGGTAGACGGCCGATTACAAAACTGCTATGCTGTACTCCTTCCCAAAGCTGTGGCACGTCCTCTGGTTTCCACTATTTCTCATCACCACTGCCAACGTATTCGTGAGTTGATTTCTGCCTTCAC